CTACTTCGATTGGCATTATTACAACTACCTCTCCTACTACTAACTACTGCTATTATTACTAATACTAGTACTAGTACTAACTAGTATAGTAGTAGTAGTACTTACATTACTACTACTACTACTACTACTACTACTACTGATGCAACGGGATTCGGTGTATGCAAGCTTGTCGCAGCAGGACTGATGATTGCATCAGGCACACTCCAGCAGTCGTTCCCAGCCTCAAGTCGCACTTCTGTAGCTCCTCCAGCAGTCGGAGACTTCGCATACTTCTTCGAGAACTTCGATGGCGCCCAGTCGAAGAAGTGGAGTCAAGAAGAGCGTGTGCGAGAAGCAGAAGAATGCGATGCAGTCGCAGCTTGCACAGATGACGCAAGACTCCTTGAAGGCGAAGCTGATGGGGTTGCTGGAAGGCAAACCGGGCCTTGCGAGCAGACTTCTCGAGCTCTGGGACCAGGGAATGCTCCTCCAGTCGGCAAGCTCGGACCGCCTGGACACGATCGGCCCGACGTGCCTTGGGATGCATTCAAGTTTCAGGAAATACATGCTTGTCATGTGTTTCCGCAATTACACCGCCACAGAGGAAGTCAGTCAGTCGTGGAGAAGAAGGTCACTTTCACTTTTTGCTTCCATCCATGTTGAGCTTTCTTCTCGATCCTGTCGACATCTGATGAGGATGATGATGATGATGAATGATTGATTGATTGATTGATTGATTGATTGATTGATTCATTGATTGATTGATCGATTGATCGATTGATCGATTGCTCGATTCATTGATTGATTGATTGATTGATTGATTGATTGATTGATTGATGATGATGACGATGATGATGAATGACGATGGCTGTGTTTATCGAGTTACTGTTCGTTCAGACTTCCATCCATGCCGGCCGGAGGCAATAAGACCTGTGGTAGATCACATTCGAGCAAGGTAAGCATAGTTTCTCGGAGTGACCAAGCAGAATAAAGCTATTGTGATCATGAATGACCATCGTGATTTAGCGTCAGAGCTGGTTGTGCAGTATACACTGTCTACATAGACAACGAGGAGTTGCAACAAGTACAAGCTCGTGGACAGTCGCATCCTGAAGGAGCTGTTGATTGAGAGTTGCGAGGGCGCGTTCGGAGAGAACCAGAAGGAGGCGCTACAGAGATGGAAGTCGACGAAATCGGAGCTGATGGAAATCTTCGCAATGCTCACCTCCATCAATGGCTCCAGTGCACTCCCGAGTCGAAGCAGAACGAGCGTCCTGGAGGAGATGCGGCAGAAGCGGCCTGAGTACGTGACGAGGCTCGACATCCCGCAGGATTTCTCGGTCGCCGAGTTCTTTCGCTTGAACCCATGGTTCAAGCTCGTGGAAAACGAGTCGTCAGGTGGTCGCTCCTGGAGTGTGCAGCACATCAGCGGCCAGTCGAAGCCGCTTCCAAGAGAGCTGGAGCACATGGCGCAGTCGGGGGCTTTGGAGTTGAAGCACACGCACAGCTTCGCCAAAGCCGCTCTGGGGGCAGGAGTTGGGCCTGGGGGGACTTTCAGAGAGAGATTTGGAGACAAGAAGAGAACCGAAAGGCAGGAACAAAGCTTAGTTTGTGCGTCCTGCTGCAGTCAAGTGGCTGTAGCTTCTTTGTCGTGAGTATGAACACGAGCATCGCAGGTCTTAGCAATGCTTGCTGGGAAACTAGCAGCAGAAAGCAACAAACACTCAGAGAGAGACAAAGAGAGAGAGTCAGAGAGACAGAGAGACAGAGAGAGCGAGAGAGAGAGTAAGCAAACCCGAGAATTAAAGGCAGAATTACAGACAAACCGCAGACAGTGAAAGTAAGACATAATTGAATTCCCCATAATGGCTGATGGTCAGTCACAGAATGACGCAAACAGCGAGAGATAAATAAGTCAGACGGACAGAGACATAAATAGCAGCATGGACTCAAGAGACAGACACGGGACACAGATAGAGACAGACACTGACTCGTGACACACAGACACAGACCCAGAGGCAAGGATGAGACAGAGAGAGACAGAGTCAATGTCACACAGGCTCAGACGCAGAGAGCATACGGTACCCCCGCCTGGGCACGTGTGGGATGCAGTTTGTTTGAGTTGCAGCACATGATCTGTGCGGCGATTGATATTGAAACAGTGGACAGAAACTGAAGAGCACATCCTTCTCTCAGTTGACAGAGACCAAATCCGGAAGAGTCTTGAGAAAGCATGACATGAAGCCAAGCACACTGCAGAGGACGCCTGTGGATGGCTTGCAGCGAGCTCTTCGATGAAAGCATTTCGCCTTTCTGGCGAAAAGAGATTCCGAGATCCGAAGTGAGTGGTGCCTCGACCCCGAGCAGCAGTCGATTCGGGTCGGCAAGCCCCGTATCCACCACGGCTTCATCGTCGCCCAACTCATTAGAGGCTGCTGTCCCAATCGCGCCATTTGTGACGCCGACCGTGCCAGTCGCCGCACCAGTCGTGCCAGAGGGTTGGGGCGGGGTACTGCTCGATGATTGAACCTGACTCGGAGTCGACGGCCTACTACCAGTTGTCGTCCAGTTCCTTGCGGGCACCTGAGTGGGCATTAGTCCTGCCTGCTCAGAGGGGATCGTACTTATGTACATGGGGCATTGGCCAAAACGGCTTCCAGTCGAGTCGCGGCCGTTAGACATTTGCAGTGTGTGGAGGACCGACGGAATGAGGAGTAGTGTATTTGGTTCAACAGTATCCTATAGGAGCTAAGCAGCCAGCCATCAATTGTTGTTTGCTGACACACTGTCCGATGTAGGCTGAGAGACTGGCAAGCAATCGCAAAGGAAAAGAAAGGCATGCGCTGGGGTTTTATTATTTGGAGCGACGCAGCTTCTGATTCTGCCTGCATGTGATGTGCAGCGTTCGCAGCCCGAGCCAACAGAAAGACTATTCTGAATTCTTATTCTTGCTAGGAAGATCTCACACTCAACTCACGGCCTGAGGTCTTCCGGCTGCTCTTTCGGTCGCCCTGTTCATCACGACAATGCTACCTCGAGAGCTGCCGCCTCAACTTGACTTTGAGCTGAGACGAAGATGCTCCAGCCGTGTACTTCATACTTTCTGCCCGGCCTGTGGACATGACCATGTGTGAGATCAGAAGAAAGCTTATTCGAGTCATCGGCACGCACTTCATTGCCAAAGATAAGACTAAACATTCGTATATNNTATATATATATATATATCGGATGTCCATGATAAGTCGGGCTTCCTGGCACTGGTTCGCAGAACTAGCGCGCAGAACCAATCATAGGCACGCACACGTTCGCAGAACTGCCCCGCAGAACCGCCCAGCACTGGTTCGCAGAACTAGTCCGCAGAACCAATCATAGGGAGCCGGAGCCTCCAGAACTCTGGACTGCGTGAGGTTTTGCTTGTCCCAGACCCAGGGTGTCATCCTGTCATAGGCACGCAGAACTAGTTCTGAATCGCTGCCCGGGACCCGAGCGTCTTCGCAGGACCGCGCTCCCCCGCAGAACCAAGCACAGGTTCGCCGAACCAGGCTCCCAGAAGCATTGTTCAAGTATATTGGAATCGTGAACGCAAAATAACAGTGTTGTGAAATCGCCGAAGAAGCAACAGCAGTCAGGTGCTCGGTTGGTTTTCCTTCCGTCAGCTTCTGGCCACGACTGACTCCACAGGCTGGTGCAAGGTTCTCTTGAAGTTTCGTTTCTCACAGCATGCAATGTCAGATTTCAGATGAAGCCCGTCAGTGAGGGGACTTGGGATTGATCGAATGACATATGGAGTGATTCATTCGTTCTGCTGTGAGAGAAACGCAGACAGGCAGCTGGAGCATGGTTTCAGTGCAATCAGTCTTGATGCTTCATGAGTAAGAAAGAAACCCCCTGAATTAAGGCACAGACGAGATCCACGATTGTGTCGAGCATCAAGCTAAGCGCAATGAATGAGTTGTCGCTCAAGCTTTGGCTTTTGTTTGATAGTCGCGAGTCGGTCGCCCTTTGCCTGTGAGTCCGTTCGCCATGCCGCCCAAGGGTAGGAAAGCGCCAAGGGCAGATGTCGACAAGATGCGCGACCAACTCTCTGTCTACAGCGAGGAGAACGTCATGAAGAAGGTCGAGGAGCGCGTCGACAGCAATCCGGAATTAATTTCGAAGGCGATCGAAGTGGTTCAGATGCTGGAGTCGGCTCCCACCGAAGTCGACCCCGAGTCGGTAAGCCAGTCACTGGGCCGGACGGAGTCGTGCTGTTAGGAGACAGGGACAGTTTTTGCTCGTAGGCAGGACGGACTTTCTATTTGCCGGGCATACTGTGTTAGTTAGTTATCTACCCATGCATGCATACCTCCTGCTGCTGAGACCACAGCTCCGTCGACTCGGAGTGTGAGCACAGGGCATGACCGGGGTAAGTAGATCTAGGTCCTGGAGTGCTGCCTGCCACACATAATAATAATCAACTCAGTGAATGAAACAAACAAGCAGAATAGGTCCGCGTGATGTTGCTAGAGTGAAGCAGAGTGGTCAAGCCGTGAAACAGATCAGGTCCTGCAACAAGTACGGCAAGCTGGACGTGATCTACCAGAAGGAGCTGCTGTCAAGCCTGTACCCAACGTGGAGGGACTGGATCACATCGGTACGTGCAACAAAGAAAGACTTCAACAGCCTCTTCAAACTCCTCGCGGGCATAGCTCCCGAATGTGCACTCCCCTCCAGATCCAAGGCCAGCATCTGCTCGGAAGTCACAGTCGGCCCGCCATGGATGAACAAGCTCCTTGAAAAGGGCTGCCCAGATGAAACCAGCACCGCGAACCTCCCTCAAGAGTTTTGGAAGGCGTATGGTTGGTGGTACATTTCCGAGGGGCCCAACAACAGCGGCTTTTCGTGCCTTGGCCATGGCCGTGTGATATTTATGTCGGCAGAGTGCGGTCGGGAGCATATGTCTAAGTAATATTTCCTTCCTCATCTAGTACATCGGTGTCTGTGAGGATCACCCATATCTCCGGGAAGACGAAGCGGGTTCCTCAAGAGATGCAGATCTTCCAACTGGAATTGAAAAATCCCGGCGACCTGGAAAACTGCCAAGTCGGGGAAGGCCTTTGAGTTCTATTTATACATTAAATCAGAAGCTCTTGCAAATGAATGGACGGACCCAGGCCTCCAAACCAAAAAAAGCCCAATAGGACCAAGGCCTCTCGTGTGAAAGTCCGAAAGAAAGTGTATCTATCCAGGTTCCAGACTGCTATTTCGTTTTGAGGTTTCCGGCAAGGATTCTTGTATCCTGCTGTCCCGTGAACAGGAAAGGATAAGTCGGATAAGAGATGTGCCACAGAAGTTCAACCAGCTCCTGTATGTGTTTGCTTGACGGGCTCGACGGAGACGGGTTCAATATAGGCTTCGAGACGTTAGGGCCACGAAATGGGACGGTTCATGAACGGAGCCAGGGAGATGTTTTCAGAGAAATCGTTCTTTGAACCAAAATTTGACTCGGAGGTCGCATCTGGGTCAACGTGCTGAGTCTCTTCCTGGAGGCAGAGCAGGATACGCTGGACATGCCCAAGCTTCGAAAAGAGATGCCGCGGGCGTGAATCCGAAGCCAGCAGCAGCAGATCTTGGCCTGTCTTGTTAAGCTGTCCGTGACCGGCCTAACGCTTGAAATTTT